TTTTAGGCATCATTTTTAGGCGATTTCAGGCAATGTCAGGTAATTTTTAGGCTATTTTTAGGCAATTTCAGACCATTTCAGGCCAGTTTAGGCAATTTTAAGCCACGTTTAGGCAATTTTAGGCAATTTTTAGGCCATTTTAGGCCGTTTTGGGCAATGCTAGGCCATTTTTAGGCCATTTTTAGGCAATTTCAAGTAATTTTTAGGCAATTTCCGGCCATTTTTAGGCTATTTCTAGGCAATGTTAGGCCATTTTTAGGCCATTTTTAGGCTATTTCTAGGCAATGTTAGGCCATTTTTTGGCTCAAAATCCCTTATTTTTCTTGATCTTTCCTCTAAAAACCCCTAAAAGACCCACCTTTTTCACAATAATCACCGCATCGAACGGAGAAATGGCTCTGGGCAATCTCAGCGCCTTATCACTGACTGATAACAGATCAATAGTGGCTGGGAGCAACCGGGACACTCCAATGCCGAAACAACACATATAAAATGGTTTTCCTTGGAATTTCGCTCCCAGAGCTTCTGAATATTTGGTGCCCAGATGGAAAGTATGAGCAATCTCCACAGAAGCTATCTTCTGCGGGCTCGCCGAGCATCTCGAGCACATTTTTGGAGTCTCTTCTTTGCTAAAAGTGCCGCATTGGGTACAGTAATCCACGAAATCCTCTTCCAGAGAGCTTCGAACGTGGTATTCGTGACTGATGTGACCGCCGTGGATTCCCGAATCTGCTTGGACCTGAAAAACGATATGTAGAGTATGGCCTAACTTTCGCAAGTTGAGTTTTCTAGGCCACCCTGGTTGATGGTCCCGAAAACGGTCTAACATGTATCTAAGGTGTTTTCTAGGTGGTCATTCTAACATGGTGGCCTAACTTTTCAGTTTTCTAGGCCACCATGATAAAATGACTTAGAAATGGCATACCCTGCACCTGGTGGGTTTTCTAAGCCATAAACCATAGTGGCCTAGAAAACTAACACTTGAAAAAGTTCGGCCATCATGTCAAAAAGGTCTAGAAATGGCTTGATAATCACCTGGTATGTTTTCTGGGTCATTTTAACATGGTCGCCTAACTTTCGCAAGCTGAGTTTTCTAGGCCACCCTAGGTGATGGTCCAGAAATCGGTTTAACATGCAACTGGTGTGTTTTCCAGGTCATGGTGGCCTAAATTTCACAAGTTCGGTTTTCTAGGCCGCCAACTTTTATGACCTAGAATGGACTTGATATTCACCTGGTGTTTCTAGGTCATTCTAACATGATGGCCTAGAAAACGCAACTTGCGAAAGTTGGGCCGGTACATTTCAAACTGATTTCTGGACCATCAACTAGGGCGGCCTAGAAATATCACGTTGAGTTGAGTTTTCTAGGCCACCATGGCTTTTGACACACACGATACCAAGTCACTTCTAGGCCATGAAAGTTGGTGGCCTAGAAAACGCAACATGCGAAAGTTAGGCCTTGACTCCTAAATCCTCTCCAAGCCTGCTTTTTTCCTAAAAACGCGAGTCGTTTTGATCATAAAAGCACGTAATAAGCAAAAGATCAGCATCTCCTTGGGGAGGACCTGTGTGTAATGAAGAAGAGAGACCAGAAGACGTCACTCTTCGAATTCTCTGGTTGTCAAGGCAGCCCACTCCTTCTCAACCGACTTTCTACGACTTCCAACGAAGAATGGCATTTGCGATCGTCACAGTGGAACCACCGACTCAGCAGGTTCAAGAGACTGAGAACGGTGAGATGGTGAGGCACATCTTTAGGATCTAGCAGCTAGATTCCAGCATTGTCCTATGCTGGGAATCTACACAACCCTTCGAATCAGCGCTGAGGAATCCTATAAGCTTTTAGTCTAGGAAGAATCCTCAGAATCTTTGGAATCAGCCAGTGGGCAAGAGAGAATCCTTAGAACCTAGCTTATGTCCCATAGGCTTCGTCTTTTATCATCTAGAATACCTACTGGGTAATCTAGCTGCACAGAACAGATCTCCTGAGGCTTCATTTAGATTCTGTAGAATTTTAGTCATTCTAGAGGGTCTCCTTGAGATCCAGAAATCTTCTAGGATCATTAGGATCTAGCCTAGATTCTATAGACGTCTAGGCACCCTAGAGCATCTCCTTGGGATCCAGTGATTTTCTAGGATTATTAGAATCTATTATGGATCACATACACTTCTAGAGGTCCTAAAGAGGATCTTCTTGGGATCTTTAGGATGTTGGGAACCATAGTTGGTCGCATAGAATCCTGGGGCACAGCTGACCTAGCTTTCTCGCTGTCCTGGAGGGTCTGTTGATGATCCTTGAACCTTACAAAATCATTAGGATCTATCCTGGATTCTCCAGACTCCTAGCCACCCTAGATGGTCTTCTTGTGATGTTGAGGATCTTATAGAACCGTTGGATTCTATAGGATTCTAGTCGGCCTGAAGGCTCTCCTTGGGATCCAGGAACTTAGGTGGATTGTGTTAGAACTGGGATTCCAGCTCTTCTAGGTTCCGCAGGTTTCGTCTAGTTAGAACTGGAATTCCACATCTTCTAGATCTTATAGACTTCCAGCATGTCTTCTAGCTAAACTGTTTCATGGGATCCATAGGCTTCTAGGCTCCCAAAACCCGTACAATTCCCATTTTCCAGGACATCCGCCTCATCCAAACTCTCAAGAAGCATCGAATCATGTTCTTGCTCGACACCATCGCTATGCTTATCTACATCGTCTGCCAAAAACTGATTCATTGAGCACTTCTTCGATGCTGCTCTCTCTCTCTCTCATTTTCATATACTCTCTCATTTTAACCTCTCCGATTCGTCATAATAATAATAAAGTCATCAACTTTCCAAGAATTTTCTAGAATCTCATCATTTGTCATGATTCGCCATGGCAACGCCTACAGAATATCCCTCAGGAACATGCGATCACATGCCTAATGAACGGGGCGGAGTCAGCTTTCTAGATACTTCTTCTCATTGTTACTGAGAAAGCTGTTGATGGCTTCTCGAATCTTCCAGTTTCTATTTCCAATGGCATCTATGACATCAATTGATATCGAGAATGGTGGCAAGGTAAGGAGAATCCTTAGGATCCGGTCGGGGATCCCCTCTCAGGCTCCTAGACAGCCGATTTTCCAGCTTTTCAAGCTTCTAAAGCCCGCAAAATTTTCCCCGCGGGGTCCAAAGGGATCCTAGAAATCGTGGAATCAGTTAGTCTGGATTCCAGACTTCAGAGAGTAACGGATCTTTCAGCCTGAAGGCTTTAGAGCATCTAGAAACATCAGAATCTTCTGAGCCTCATAACTAGGACTCTCGAAGTTCCCTGAGCTCATAGAATCGCTAGAAACTTCCAGATGACGTGCCAAACCAAGGATCGCTCGTGCTTGTGGAATCACATAGTTTCGAGTCCAGGATCCTCTAGAGCATCTAGAAACATCAGAATCTTCTGAGCCTCACATCTGTGATCTTAGATGTTCTAGCCTCTAAAATTCTTGAACTTCCCGGGGAGCTCATAGGAGTCTCTAGAATCCCTCCAAAAATGCTTCAAAACTTGCAGATGACGTGCAAAACCAAGGATCGCTCGTGCTGCTTGAGATTCCTCCTCGTCGTCGGCGGATTTTGCCTCGCCTACGTCGCCATCCTCGTTCTCTTCGTTCTCCTCAAAGGATCACTCGCTGCACACAACAAATAATCTTTTGTTTTCCAGTCATTTCCCCATGTAATTCTCGCATTCCTTTACAGGGTGGCCGATAAGTATAGGACGTTTTGAAAGTGCTCCCATTTTTTCAATTTGAGGATTTTTCGAGAACAACCTTTATTAAACAACAAAAAATAAGCAGAAAATTTGATTTTACAAGAGAAATTCGAAGTTGGATCCACGAGCTTTGACACAGGCTCTCAAACGTTTCTTCACCGAATTGACAGTGCGCCGCAGGTATCCGTCGTCGATCGAAGCCCATGCTACCTCGAGAGCGGCCTTCAAGTCATCGACAGTAGCAAAAACTTTTCCCGCGATCTTCCCTTCCAACATGCCCCAAACGCTGAAATCCATCGGATTGAGATCCGGGCTGGAAGCAGGCCACAAGTTCTTGTCCAGGAATCCAGGGAAATGCGCCTCCAAGACGGCCAATGTCGATCTCGAGCCATGGGACGGTGCCCAGTCTTGTTGAAGGATAAATGGACCACCAGCAAAGTGCTGAGTGACCCAGGGTAACAAATTATCCATCAACACAATCTTTTGGTACACCTCCGAGTTGATTTTCACATTTCTTTCAATGAAAACCAACGGAGTTTTACCGGTTGCCGTGATACCGGCCCAAACCACGACACTTTTCGGGAAAAGGCGGTTATGGGCAAGACGACGTTTCGGAGACATGCTGTCATCCTTTGACAATAACTGTCTCTGGTTTTGACGGTTGGGAAGAGGTTCAATAGTGAAGATCTTCTCGTCTGTCCAGATAACGTCAGAGACGCGGCGCACTTGAAAGTGCTGGAGTAATTTTCGGCATTTTTCGAGTCGCATCGCTTTCGATTTGTCCGAGAGGTACTGTCCACGACGTAGTTTGTAACTTTTGAGCTTCAAGTCGTTCTTGACAATCGATTGGACAGTGGATCGGGCAATTCCAAGCTGTGACGCCATCCTATTGAGACTCAATCCATCATTTCGAATGATCCGTTTCTTGATGATTGCACGAGTATTCCGGGTGTTGACAGAACGTGGACGTCCGCTTTTTTTTACTTCAGAAGCATCTCCTCGCTTTTTGATAGCAGCGACAACGTTTCGAACCGTCGAAGACGAAATTTGAAGGCGTCGAGCGATCTCAGCGCTTCCGAGGCCTCTCTTGAACAAGAGTTCAATGGAAGGACGATGAGGAGAACTTTTCATAGCTCGGCGATATGGAGAAGTGGAACAAATGACTGAGAAGCTTACTTATATAGTCTCTGGACTTTCGAAAAGTTTCGAAATTTTTCGAAAATATCCCTTGGCACCGTGCCAGGGAACGCTGAAAGCGAGCGTCCTATACTTATCGGCCACCCTGTATACTCTCAGAGTCCTCCGTTTGGACCCATTTTCCAGCTATTTTGGTCCTTGAGACCCTTCTAGCATGTCCTACGTATCCCAAACGCCCCAATTTTTGATCGTTTGATTTCCCTGAATTCGTCACATCTTCATTTTCAAAATAAAGCGAAAAATTTCGAAATCTCTTCCTCTGGGACATTGCTGATCATATGATTCGTGATTCATGAGTCTAATGAAGAGGTAGCTCTCGTTATATATATATATAACGTCATAAATCAGAAAAGTGGGCGTGTCACTAGGTAACCTAATCTAGGATGTCTACAGCCAGCGAGTTCTTCTCCTTATTGAGCGTTTTGAAGACTACGAGCTTCCTTGTCTCGTGTGTCTTTCGTCTTCATCGTTCCTCGATTCCTCGGAATGGATCCTTATCGCTATAGCCAGCTACCGCAGGAGCCGTCGCCACCGCAGAAGCCGTTTCTACAACTGCCTGGTATGGAGGATGGCGACGAAGATGAGGAGGTGAGTCGAGGGGACCATCAGAATCCGGTGTGTCGCCAAAGTCCAGATTACTGTAGACTGCCCAGCTCTAGGAATATTCGGATTACTGTAGTCCAGCTCGGGGAAACTTCTAGGTTACTGTACTCTAGGATGGCCTCTTGGACCTTCTGATGAATCTAGAGATTCTAGGCTCATCAGGATCAAGATCCAGATTACTGTAGGCTAACTCTAGGGTGGTCGAGGGCACCTTCTGACGGATCTAGGGGTTCTAGAATCGCCAGGATCAAGGTCCAGATTATTGTAGATTACCCAGATCTAGGAGAATCCAGATTACTGTAGCTCAGTTCTAGGAAGATTCAGATTACTGTAGTCCAGCTCGGGGAAACCCTAGGCTACTGTAGGCTAACTCTAGGATGGCCTAGGGGATCTTCTGATGAATCTAGCAATTCAAGAAGCATCTGATCCAAGACCAGGTTATTGTAGTCCAGCTTCAGGAAGATCTAGATTACTGTAGATTACCTAGTTGTAAGCAGATTCAGGCTACTGTAGGCTAACTCTAGGGAACCTTATGATGGATCTAGGGGTTCCAGAATCGTCAGGATCAAGGTCTAGATTACTGTAGATTACCCTGTTCTGGGAGAAACGAGATTACTGTAGCTCAGTTCTAGGAAAATCCAGATTACTGTAGGCTAACTCTAGGATGGCCTATAGAACCTTCTGATGGATCTCGGGGTTCCAGAAGCATCAGATTACTGTAGATTGCCCAGTTCTAGTCCAATAGAACTCGATTTCAGTCATTTCTAGACTAGAATTGGCTCGTTTTGTGCAATTTCTGGGTCATTTTCAGCCATTTTCAGACCATTTCCACTCTCGAAATCGCCCTTTTTTAGTGTTTACTGTAGGCCAGGTTACTGTAACCCAAATAGAACCCGATTTGGACCATTTCTGGGTCATTTAAAGCCAATTTTGGACCATTTCTGGGTCATTTAAAGCCAATTTTCAGTCACTTTCAGACTATTGCCACTCCCGAGACCCCTTTTTTTCAGTGTGACTTCGTATTCTGGTTCATCGTTCTCCTCCTCATTTATCTCGTCGGACTGGTCTTGGAACTCTCTCCACTCATCGACTACTACCTCGGAAACAAACAGAACCATTTCTGATATTTCCTCTGCGTCTCTTCATCTGATCTGATCTCTCTCCTCCTCTCGCCTCGCCCCTTTTAAGCTGATTGTGATCAGTTTATCAGTTTTTGTCGTCAAATAAATCAATTTTCCGATTTTCTGGGTCATTTAAAGCGATTTCCAGCCATTTTTAGTCAAAAATCCGGTCCCCAGTCATCGTTGTGGACCATTTTCGCCAATTTCCAGACACTTTCT